AACTGCTGGGATTACAGGTGTGAGCCACCCCGCACCCTGCCTTCCCTATTTTCTTTCTTTTTTTTTTTTTTTTGAGACAGAGTCTCACTCTGTTGCCCAGGCTGGAGTGCAGTGGCTGGATCTCAGCTCACTGCAAGCTCCGCCTCCCGGGTTCATGCCATTCTCCTGCCTCAGCCTTCTGAGTAGCTGGGACTACAGGTGCCCGCCACCTCGCCCGGCTAGTTTTTTGTATTTTTTAGTAGAGACGCGGTTTCACCATGTTAGCCAGGATGGTCTCGATCTCCTGACCTCGTGATCCGCCCGGTTTGGCCTCCCAAAGTGCTGGGATTACAGGCTTGAGCCACTGCGCCCTGCCTTCTCTATTTTCTTGACAGTCTTCCTTCTCTTTCTCTCTGCCTGTTTTTGTATTTTGCCTTCCTTTTCTTTTATCCCCAATGGGGGTGAGAATTAGGTTCCCAGAACCTGTTATGAACGTTTTCCTTGACTGATAGCAGTATGAGAAAGCATTGCAAAGGACTGCCTGGGGGTGCTATTTAGTACAGGGGCATGGGATATGGACTGGTTTACTGCAGGTTCTCCTTCAGGGGCTGATTTAGGTTGGTGTTTATGCAGTCCTAGGCTGGCCTAGTTGCCCATTTCATAAGCTATACAAGGCTGCTGGACTGAAATAATTGTGAAATGTGGCCATCCCTCTTGCTGCACAGTCTGTCTTTTTGGCCATAATTAAGAATCATTCATGTCCAGGGTGCACATTTAGCCAATGGAGTTTCTTAACAACTCCTTTGAGAAAAGGATCAAGGGACATACCTGAACAGAAAGGTTTCTGTGGTTCCATAATGTGAGAGTTCAGAGTGCACAGAGGATGATTCCTGAGTCTGCCCATCGAATAGGCATTTGGGTAGATTTTTTTTTTCTACCATTTGACTTCCATCTTCCTAAAGAATGAGAAGTTAGGACTAGAGGAAAAGCTCCCATCTTTCACACTCAATATGTTCTCTAAAACCAAGCAACTTTGATTCTTCCTTCCTGTAAGTGAACCCTGGTTGCATAGCCTTGGACCTGTCAAGTCAGGTGTCAGGTGACTTAGAGGGTATAGGAAATACTTCCATTTAGGCACCATCTAAGTTTACCCAGCCTCTCTTCCGCACTGACATTGGCTTTAATCCTCGTAAATGCTGAGTATACTCTTCTTTCCGTGTGGGCCCAGGAGGCAAGGCTAGGCTGGAGGTGATCACTAGGTAGGAGAAGGCGTCTTGTTGGAAGGAGCTGGTGTAAAACAGCGGGTTGCCAGGCCTCTGTTCCCAGTGTTGTCTTGGGTGAAGCTGTTCCAAGGAAACCACATTTCTCTCTGGGCCGCACTGTTGTGAGTGCCTAGGATGCTTCCAGTGGATCTGTGTGAAATGTCAAATCCATCGAGGTTAGCCTGGAATGAAATCTCTGTGCCGAAAGACTGGCAGGAGTTTTGGACTCCAAAGTTCTTGACTGATCTTTTTCTGTTGTAATGACTAGATGAGTGAGGTTCTCCTGATTGTTTCTGAGGCTGCTTGCTCCCTATGTCCTCAGCCTGTGACCAAGGTATAGCTCACTTGGGCTGAGTGCTTCCTTGTTCAGGATGAATTAAGCACTTGATGTGCACATGCTGTGAACTCATCTCCCCCAACTTCTTTGAATTCTCTACCCATCATATACTTGGCCACTTTCCTGAGCCAAGCGCTTTATTATCTTGTCCTGTGAGTCCTCATAGATATATTTAGAAACATTTCTATGAAATATGAAATGCAGGCTTAACTGGCTGTTTGAAATCACAACCCACAACCACTTTGCTGGTGTTTGCTCACACACATACTGATACATGCTTGCTATACATACGCACAGTTGCCATCTTTTTTTTTTTCCTTTTTTTTTTTTTTTTTTTTTTTGAGACAGAGTCTTGCTCTTTTGCCCAGGCTGGAATGCACTTGGCTCACTGCAACCTCTGCCTCCCAGGTTCAAGCAATTCTCCTGCCTCAGCCTCCCAAGTAGCTGGGACTACAGGTGCGTGCCACTACACGTGGCTAATTTTTGTATTTTTAGTAGAGATGAAGTTTTGCCATGTTGGCCAGACTGGTCTTGAACTCCTGACCTCGTTATCCACCCGCCTCGGCCTCCCAAAGTGCTGGGATTACAGGCATGAGCCACCGCGCCTGGCCAGTTGCCAACTTTTTTGTGTGCTTTCCTTCCTTCTCTCTTCTCCAGACATAGCATGTCTATAATCTCTGGAGGTAAGCCCTGCCTCGTTACACACAAGAGGATCATGACTAATGCAGTGTACATAGATAGATAGAGATATCTACCAGCATGTTAATAAAGGGTCTGAGATGGAATGGAAAAATGTCGCCCTCAGGTAATTGTCCGCAGTCTTCTGTAGCCACTGCTGGAGAGGGGCGTGGCGTGGGAATGGGGGAGATGGGCACACCCGTGGGTACCATCTGTTAGGTGGCAGGAAAGAAGGATATTTCTGAATTTTATTTTTTTCTTGTCTAGGAAATTTCTAAAACTTCTTCTGCTTAGAGCTTTTTCAGGGTCTAATTCCCGCACAGGTGGGAGTGGTGCCTTAGATTTTACCTTTTTACGCCCAAGCAGCCGTCTCGCTTCCAAAGTCGTGCTTACTGATGCACTCCTTTGACTGTGTTCCTCTGCCTTTTCCTTGTGCCTTGAATCTCGTCTCTGTGCTTGCCCTTGTCTCTGTGTGTCTCTGTCTGTGCCTTCGTGGCTTAGCATCTTGGTGCTTGGATATTCCCCACCTCTCTGTGCTTCTTGGTTCCTGCAGAGCCTGCCTCCTTGTGCCTTTCGTTACCACGTTAACAAACTCGAGTTGTGCCTAACGACGTCGCCTCATACGTTATGCTAATGATCAAGAGACATGTTAATGATATTTTAGAAGCCTAATTAGTGGAATATATAACTATATGCAATTTGGTAATGGACTGTGACAACAAGTTGTTAAAAGGGGGCTTGACAAATACAGTTGCATGTGGCCTCAGACAAACAGGAGCTGAGAATGGATGAGTGGAAATCAGACAGGGAGATAGAAGGAGGAGGTGTGTACTGGGGCTGTGAATGCCTGTGTGTACACTTACGTGAGGGTCAGTCTTTCTTACGGGTAGCATTGCTGTCTTATCATCATTCCACTGTCCTAAAACCACAAGGCTAACTGTATCTGAAGAATTATTTACTGATGTTTCTTAAGCAGTTGCTACTGTTGCCATTGATCATACTCGTATATCTTGGTTAGAAATGTTATTTTGATTATGTTATTCTTCACAGTATCCTTGTAATTTGTAATGGGAGATGTACACAGAGAAGATAGGTTCTTGTGCCAAAAAGAAGTTTTATTGTGTTATAAACCAACAATCAAGACCATGTAAGCTCAGAAATGATCTGTATTGTGTCTATCAACATTTCGACAGTATTGGTAGGAGTAAAACAAGGAGTGGTATGTGTAAAATCATTCAGCTGTTTGGATGTCAGTTTCTCTCAATGAAAGAATTGGTTAGAGGCATACATTCCTTCAGCTGGTATCTTTCTTCCTCTAACATGGTGATTCTCAATTTGTGCGCCTCGGACCCTGAGGGAGCCTTGAAGTTGTTAAAAAGGCTTGGTAAATTCATGCACATAGCAAGCATTGTCTGTGAACAGAATAATGTCCTGGACACGCAGGCAGATAAATATACCTACTAAAATTCTTTGAATGTATGAATCGCTATTGTGGTTAATGAAATGCACATTCACTTAAACAAGCATTTTTTTTTTGTTCCTATAGGTTTCTTTATTCATGTGTATCATTCCTCCATCTGTAGACGCTAAAAATAGAATAACTCTCTTATAGTGGTACTTGCAATGTTTCAACATTAAAAAAGAGACTATACATTCACAGAGGTTGGGAGCTTCTGTCTAGCCTGTTGTTATCAAAACTGCTTATAAAATATAGCAACTAATTTTCACTTTGACAACTACTTTAATTCTAGAAAATAGGTTTATGAAGACTTTCTTAAAGTGTTATCTATCCTTCCAGTGACTTATTGTACATTTTAGAACATATTTCTATAGGGAAGAAAAATCTCCTTTAGTCAGAATTGAACAGTTTTCGTGAAGAACACGTTACACCATGCAGAAACATGGGCACTGCAGTGCATAGGTGGCACTAGCTTATGGGAGCCTGAATTCTAGAAACTTGGTTTTACTTTTTGTTTAGGATTAAAATGCCAAAAAGAGATAGGCTTGCAGTATCACACTTCACCACCAGGTAAAGCTTTTAGAAACATATATTCAGTGTGAAAATGCCCCAAGTTTGCAGCTTCTTGATGGATAAAGACAGTTACAGAGACAAAGAAAGTTAGTGTTTTATGAATTAGTCATCTGCTCTTGAAATAGTGTAGGTTATTGGCAATGAGGTACATTTGTATTTTTTTCTTGGCTGCTCTTCCTAAGGCAGTATGCCCTGTTACCATTGAGGAGGTTCTTCTGTCTTTCCCCTTACATTTTTATTGTACACGGAAAGAGAGAAAAAGGAAGCCCTGAAGGAAGATTATGTATGAACCCAGGATTCTGTTATTATGTCTGATGTTTGTTTCCAGTTAAAAATGAGAAGTAATTTTTGGGAAGGAGACAGAAAGGGGAGAAGTTTATAAGCAAGCCAGTGGAAAAAGCACATTCATTATCAGTGTCTTTCTCACTGAGTCGTTTGAAGTTGGAAAATTAGCAGCTTCTTTGAAGCTCATGAGATCTTTCATCTTTGTGTATGTGAGTGTGTGTGTTAATATTAAGTGGTGATTCTTTCTCTTGCCACTTATTTGGTTTTTCTGCTAATAATGAAATTATAATGAGATCCCTGATGGGATTTAAAAAAAAAAAAAAAGAAAAAAACACCTTACATGAATTATCCCATTCCCCCACCCTCCTTCTGCCTTTCTATAAAATCTGTTCTGCATAATAGGTCTTTGTTTCTGGATTTGTGACAGAATTGAAGGAGGCCAGGAGTCGGAAGTGCCCCTCATTGTTCTTTTTGGTGACTAGGATACAAAGTTGTGTTCGGCACAAAGTACTCTCCTCTGCTTCTACCTCCGGGAACCCCGTTACCCCCCAGCCCACACACCACCACCCCAAATTTGGGTGGGGAGAAGGCAAAGGTGAGTGTTTGATATCTTTGCAGGCTGAATGGCCAGTTTATTTGAGATGTATATACCATGCCTTCCCCCTTTTCTCTTTAAGGATTCATGACATGGGCTGCCATTGAGGGGAACCACACATCTGTCTTGATGGCAGAAATGTGGTATTTGGAAATCTTGGGAAAACCTCTCAGGATAACATTTTCAGAAGTAGGTTTTCCTCCCTGTTACCTCTGGTTCCTATTCCATTGCCCTTTATCAGTACAGGCTTTTGAAAATGCCATGGATTAAAGAGGTCCCATTGCCCAGGGCTGAGCGTTTCTTTGCCCGGCCTGGTCTCTACTAGTGGGTGGGTAAGTGGAGCCTTTGGAAGAAGGAATCAGTGTATGGACTGTTCAAGACACACACATACTTATCTAATTTAAGCATTTCTGGCTGTAGGAAAGGCAATGCTGTGATCTATTCCAATGAAGAGTTTACGTTTTGGAAACTCAGTTCTATAATCAGTTCTATAAAACTCAGATTCTTCTATAATCCAACCTAAATCTTTTCTGCTTTACTATTTTGTCTTAAGCCAGAGATAGACAACTGCTATTTTCCCATCTTAAAACTCTAGAAAACTAGAGTGTAGAGAATGGGCAAGATGACAATGCCTCGTCTATGTATGTGGCTTAGTCAAAAGCTATTTCCTGAATCTCTCATGTTTAGATTTTCTCATCAACGTTAATGACCACTTTCAGGGCCTCATTCCCCGCTCCCCATCGTGTCTGCAGGTTCCCCCTCTCTTTCTTCCTTCTCACCATTTAACAGGTATAATAAAGCTGGGGAATCTTTACAGTTGGTGATTTTATATCATAGATCAAAGATCAAAGCAGAGGAATACACAGCAACCGTAAAATTAACTGCTTTTTCAATTTTACAATGCTTTCAGTGATAGAGAATCTTATAAATTTAATATTAATTAAACACTTAGCTTTTAACCTCCTCCTGCATCTACTTTTGGCTGGTGGCTGGAAAAAATTAATTGGGCATCTTAAATCTTGTATTACTAATGCCTTGACAGGAGGGGTTTCAGAAGCACTTAGAACTTCAGCAAAATGCACTTGGAGCATTTGTCCTTCCACTCACCTAATTGAAACTCCTTTTTTTCCTTAAGGAAAAATGAACCATTTGCAAATTTTTTTTTAAAGGAAGCATAACTTACAGTCCCCTTTCATAGCCAAAGCTTTAACTCAGTCCCTTGGCACATTTAACACTTCACAAAATGGAAGCCATTGAACTTCCATTATTGTAAATGCCCTATTGATTTTTGAGTGTGTTGGTACAGATGTGTGGCCGGCAATTGCTTGGCGTAATCATTGTGTCACCTGAAGCCTATGCATGTTCAGTCCAGCAAGAGGTGCCTCCTGTTTTGGTGAGCTCACTTTGGCATGTTAGAGTCAGAGGTGGTGGCATTTGAGAATGGACCCACAGCATCAGGAACAGGAAAGTGAGAATATCAGTGAAAGGAAGTAATATTTCTCTTGAAGGAAGCCTCAAAAGATAGGAAGCCAGTATGATGGAGATGTTTTGGGGAAGCTAGACTAGGCTGTTCACATTTTCTTAGCTCTGGAAGGAATGGACGATGGCCTTTTGTTGGAGGACAAGCATTTCTCTCTTTAAAAGCCAGGCAAGCATTCATGACTGTGCTTCAGAAATGGCTCAATAGAAATAATAATGCCAATACATTGCATTTCTTTTGTATTTTTTTTCTCCAGCAGGCTTGGAGAACTTTATCCAGATAATCTAATTTTTCTCACACATCACTGTGTTAGAAAAGAGCAAGATCAGGCCCCTGAGTTTACCCAAGCTGGTTCTATGCTCTGACCATATATTTGAAACTAGCAACTGGAAATTATAGTGAATAGAGCATGAACCCCAAGAATGGATCTTTCTGTACCTGTTTTAGATTCAGGTAACTGAGAAAAGTACATTAATTGCTTTTTGGGGACATCTATTCCTAGCACAGTGCTCAGTGAAATCCCTTGGGTTTTTTTGACTTCACTTGGAGAAGAACTATAAGAAACAAACTTTGGGGGAGAATTTAAAATGTCATTATTTACTTTACAAAAATGTTAAAACAATTTTACTCTGAAAGGCTTTACTGCAGGTTTGCTTTAAATCGCTAAGTTTTCTAGTCCTGTAGTCATCTAATGAGACTACAAATCAGTTTACAACGGATACTTTGGAAGTATATTTTTTGAGTAAGGTAGGGGATATAGAACATGCAACATGACAGTCCCCTATCTCCTGCTCTGGGTTGCAATGGTCTCTTTCTCCGAGTCCAAACAGTCACCTTGACAATCCTTGATGGCAGTAGGGAGCATTTAATCCAACTGTGAAATAATAAATTAGCTGTGGTGTCACCACCAGAACAGGGAATCCTGGCTTTATGCACCTGGCTAGTCTGCACTCCCCATGAAACCATCACAGTTCCTTCTCATTGCAGCTGAGCTTTCTGAACCTTTTAAGAACTGAATTGATGGGATGTGGCATTTGATAGCCGATAAATTAAGGATATTGGTAAATGGAGCGACTCTATTAGAAGACAGCATTTCCGAGATCAGTAGCAACATTTGCTTGCGTTGTTTGTGAGTGTATCTGTGGAGGTCCTTTATATATGTATCTCTCTCTTTCTCTATCTATCTAGATATATATGATATGTGGGGTGCTATAAAATTTTTAGTGCCTTAGTTTGGGTTGACCGCCTTATTACTCACGAGTGAGCTATACAGGTCTTCCTTAACAAGTGGCAATAAAGGCTTTACAGCACCCCTTACACCGTCACATATTTTTGTTTAGGCCACATATTGTCTTTTTCTTTTTAAGTCTCCCTTTGCTCATGTCCCTCTCAAGTACCTTTGTTGCCATGGCAACAGTTCCATCGTTTCTTAGGGTAGAGCAGAATGACATCTCACACACGATTCTTTAAGTCAGTGCTTGTTTGGACTGACCTCAGACACTCAGCTGGGGCCAGTGCTGTGGCCCTTACCCTGGTCATCTGTGGCACTGTTTTCTCTTTTTTTGCCCGAGGCTGTGTTTATTAGACTGCTATGTCTGTCTCTACATTAATCACTGGTCGTGTCTCCGTGGACCTGTTCCAAAGAATGGGAAGAAGATCTAAAATTGAAAAAAAAAAGTTATTGTTAAAGCATTTTGAGTTAAATATGGAGCTTTGTGAGTGGTTGGATACATAGTAAATACTGTGGCAAGATGAAAAGGTGAGGGCAGCTCGTCCTCTGCATGTCAATGTTCTCTTTGGAATTCCCCCACAAGCTCGGTTTTGACAGGTTACCATGTGCATTTTTCAGTCCTCTCTGTGTGTCTTTAAGACCCAGCAGACCTTCCTTCTCCGTGACTCATGGAATATTAGTCTTAAATGGGAGTCACAGAACTGAGTCCGGTGCACTGATTACATTCCTAGGGAAACTGAGACCCAAAGGGGCATGTGTCTTGCTAAGATCACTCATCCTTTATTGGTACACATGGGATGAAAACCCACATCTCCCAACCTTCAGTTGAGCTTCACCTTTGCTACAGTTTGTTAGTTTTTTTAAAACAGAAATTATTTGAAAGGTTTTACTGTCAAGCGAATTTCCTTTCAAGCCACTGCAACATTTCTGTAAAATGTGGCTGTAGCCATAGTGGAGACCTCATTTGGCAAATGTGGATAGGTGGGGAGGCTGTACCTCCAAATTTCTTAATTCTTTTTCCAACAAGAAGGTTGGCTTGCCAATTCTTTGATAAAAGGTAGGAGTTTCTGTAATCTGTTCTCTTAACCACATTTGGGATGCTTGTATATATGACTACATATATTTATATATTTTTTATGGGCAATATTTTGACTGTTTCTCTTTTGAAAGACAGTGTGAATGAGTATGCCAAAAATCACAGATGATATGAGAAATGCTATCAATAAAAGCATTTTTTCAGAAAGGTGAATAAAATAACCCCAAAATAATATAAACTTTTTCCTAATATTATTTTGCAAAGTCATTAGAAAAGCTAGTGCTTGTGACCAATGGGGTGATGTTCGTGGGACAGTACATGGCTGACGTGGTTTTCACTGGGCAAAATCATTCAGATCCGCGAGTCTTTTGGCATGGGCCTAGACAGAGAGATTGCATAATTTGTTCTTGGATGACGTGAAAAAGAACCCTGAACATATTTTTCTTTTCTATGCTTCCAAAGTCTGAGTGGGAAGTTTTACATGGATGGGTAACATGGGATTTTAGGAGACTGATGATGCTCTGTTTTAGATCTGCACTTGGTCTTTCCAACTTGTCGGGGTGGTGTGGTGATCGTATATTTGACTAGTGGGTATTGTGTTTTCATATTTAGGCTGCCTGTATAGCAGCTCGTGATTTGCTATCAGTACATCTATCAGTCTGTAATATTACATGCGGTATCATTCTTCTGTTACCCAAATACTTGGTAAAAGAGAAAGCTAACATGCACTAGGTTCCTACCAAACAGATAAGATGAGATAATCTGTATAAAGTACATAGTATAACCCTGAAAGAGATTATTAGTCCCACTTGACAGAGGTGGAAAATGAGCCCTAGAGAGATTAAATAAAATAGAACCTTCTGTGACTGAGTGACTAAATTCAGGTCTCTGATTTCAAAGCCCATACTCTTTCCTCTGAGTTGCATTGCCCCTACCAGGTACTTGGCAATGACTGTCTTGTGCAATCTTTGGATCTTTGCCTTGATAATGTGCTTAATCATTCCCTTCACAGTTCATAGTAAAGTAAGGATGACGAGCATTTAGCATCATCACACACAAGCCTGAGAGTCAGCAAGACTCACCTTACTGTAAAGCTAGCTTCATCAGCTCCAGCAGCTTTCCAGGTAGCATGATATCACTGGCAGAGTGGATCAGGAAGCCCTGGGGACCTGGCAGAAGTTGAGAGTGTGGAGTGGGAGAATGGGAGAAGGAGTAATATATTAACCTTACTGATACACAGAGTTGCTCCTTCT